TCCATTTCTGACCTTTCCTTTTCCTCGTCTGACCTCTGCCGTTCCATGTCTGACCTTTCCCCTTCCATGTCTGACCTCTGCCGTAACATGTCTGACCTCTGCTGATCCATGTCTGACCTTTCCCCGTCCATGTCTGACCTTTTCCTTTCCTCGTCTGACCTCTGTCGTTCCATGTCTGACCTTTCCCCTTCCATGTCTCACTTCTGCTGTTCTATGTCTGACCTTTCCTCTTCTATGTCTGACCTCTGCTGTTCCATTTCTGACCTTTCACCTTCCACGTCTGACCTCGGCTGTTCCATGTCTGATTTTTTCCCTTTCATGTCTGACCTCTGCTATTCCATGTCTGACCTTTCCCTTTACTCGTCTAACCTCTGCTGTTCTATGTCTGACCTTTCCCCTTCCATGTCTGACCTCTGCTGTTCCATGTCTGACCTTTAACCTTGCATGTCGGACCTCTGCTGTTCCATTTCTGACCTTTCCCCTTCCATGACTGACCTCGGCTGTTCCATGTCTGACCTCTGCCGTACCATGTCTGACCTCTGCTGATCCATGTCTGACCTTTCCCCGTCGATGTCTGACCTTTTCCTTTCCTCGTCTGACCTCTGCCGTTCCATGTATGACCTTTCCCCTTCCATGTCTGACCTCTGCTGTTCCATGTCTGACCTTTCCCCTTCCATGTCTGACCTCTGCTGTTCCATGTCTGACCTATGCTGTACCATGTCTGACCTTTCCTCTTCTATGTCTGACCTCTGTTGTTCCATTTCTGACCTTTCACCTTCCATTTCTGACCTCTGCTGTTCCATGTCTGACCTTTCCCCTTCTATGTCTGACCTCGGCTGTTCCATGTCTGACCTTTTCCCTTCCATGTATGACCTTTCCCTTTCCTCGTCTGACCTCTGCTGTTACATGTCTGACCTTTCCCTTTGCATGTGTGACCTCGGCTGTTTCATGTCTGACCTTTGCTGTTCCATGTCAGACCTCTGTTGTTCCTTGTCTGTGCTGTTCCATGTCTAACCTTTCCCCTTCTATGTCTGACCTCTGCTGTTTCATGTCTGACCCTTCTCTTTCCTCGTCTGACCTCTGCTGTTCCATGTCTGACCTCTGCTGTTCAATGACTGACCTTTACCCTCTTACCTCTACCCTCCCATATCATACCCTTTTCCTTTTATGTCTGATTTGTTTAATTGATAATTTGTCACAGTCTATTTTAACTACAATACATCAGTGAAATACATTTTTCGATTATTCATTGTTTTATTCTACACATACCGTCACAGAAACCTATAGACACCTGTATGCAACGAGTATGTCTCTTCTACCAGATCAGCAAGAGTTGATCGAGAGGCATGCGTATCCCCCGAGAACACTGGAACCTCGTTAATTGGGTCGCTGATATACGTTTTATTATTCTGAGCAACTCATAATTCTGTAAGTATTTCGAAGTTAAACATTTTCGCCGCTGTCGAGATTCCAGGTCACGGAATATCAGTGTTCGTATTGTCCAAATGCACGATAACGAGGTTCAACTAATACCAAAACCAACTTTCCGGACCAAAGTTTACAGCATATACTAACAAAAATGTCTTAATTAACGCGGTTCCATTATACCCGGGTAAACTAAGATTCACAGTACGCACAAAAAAAGCTGAGCCTGAACTAACGAGGCTCCAAGGCGTTGCTGAAATTGAATAAAATATGGGTATTTGAAAAACTTGGATGACCGACAAATGAAAAACAAAAGTCGACAAAATCTTCATGCTTTTCTTAAGTTTATTTCATCTTATTAACAAATATAAAAGTGTAAAAATCTTTATACAGAGTCTGTCAAGAACAGCACTGGCATGTTTTGAAAACAAAGGGTAATATCTGACTGTATCCGGCACCGGTCCCATCACGCCATCGTTTACCCAGCAGCCATTTTCTCAATCATAAGCCGAAGACATTTACATTAGTCAAAGAAAATTACAATCGAAAACAATGTGTTGGAAAGAAAAGTAGAGACCAAAAAACAAGTACATATTCTCTTTGGTGAAAATACAGCACTCTTCACCATTTAAACAGACAAACACTGGATCGCAACAGTTACAACAGACCACGTGAGCTAATTGGTTTGAGTCACGTGATAAAGTGGGCGGTTCCTACCCAACAAATGCCCTATCTCATTCATGCTAGCTGAACGCATTCGCACACAACAATTTACGTACAGCACATAGTTGACAAAAACATTTGAAAAATCAAACGATGTCTGATAAAAATAACAGAGACTAGTACAACAAAAATAAAAACAAATTCAAACACTGAACTTAGAATGAAGAAGAGTCAGGGAATGTACAATTTTTTAGAGCGACCAACATTCCTGCAGTGAGATAAAAAAGAAAAAGGGGGGGGGGGGGGGGGGGGGGGGGGGGGGTGTGTGTGTGTGTGTGTGTTAGCAAGCTGTGTTAACTGTCCACGCCCCCGTTTTGTGACTGGACGAGCCGTAATCCTTCTGATGGACGATATTTCACTCTGATGACAGTGGACAGGACGAAACCAGTACCAGAGACAGAAGTATGGAAAATAATGAGATGTATACGCAACAGATGATTTTTGTAATGTTCAGTAACCTCTGGAATGACTCGAGGAGGTTACAGAGTAAATCTGTGTACATATATACAACATTACATCTGCTCACAATTGTTTTGTAGTTTCTAAAATAACAACATAAAATCTCAAATAATTCTGTTTGACAATCTGTGGATTCTAAACCAAAACATTATAATTGTAATCACCTATAAACATATAACAAAACATAACAAAAAAATGCAATATCAAAATATTCAACAAAAATCTTATCTACAACAAATAGAAGGGTAAACGTGTATGTTCCATCCTTGTGAGCGCTTAGCTATGAAATCGGCTTTTTACAAAACTATACGTCTAACATCTACTGATGACGTCATCTAATGATCTTTATGTCTGATGATGCATTCGTATCGTGAACATCTTTCGGAATAGCATATCATATTATATTCTTAATTTTTAGTTTAATTTGAGTATTTAAAAACATTACAGAGATTCACTATTTCTCTATATATGAAATATAACAAGACGATCGGCATGAAGTTGATCATTTACAATCTGAATCTATACGACACTTTGAGGTAATTGTCTAAGTACATTGATCACCATGCATCATCAGAACCAATCCTGGTATTATCAGGTTTACGTTAATACTCTGGTAAATATTCCACCCAGTGGTGTTGAGGTGCGTAAATCAGCACAAAAGGATAAAACATACAGAAAAAGTATACCATATAGTTACTCAAACAAACGCTAACTTGTTGAGATAATAAATGATATAGCTTCATCTAAATACACTAACCATATACACAGGGGTCAGACACCATTTATGAATTGGTATGATTCATTCTTACAAGTCTGCCACCGATAAATTGTGTCTCGCGCCTGTGTCTAGGATCGCCTCGGTGCCTCCCAGCTACGGTCGCTATAAACATGCACACGAGACCGCCACAGAGCCTCCTCATCCGCGTCACACTATAACATGTACACGGGCAAAAGCACCAACTGTTTATAAATGTACACCAGTCCATTATAATGAAATGAGGATATAAGATTATGAATAATGAGGATTATGATGTTACTACTTACACCATGTACAAACACACCTCCCAGGTGTCAAGTGTCTAACAAAATCAGTCTTTCACGAAGATTTTTCAATTTGACTGACGACACTAGCCGAAACAAATCATGCCACAATACATTTAAAGTCATGCAATTCATGAACAGTTTGTTAAAAAATGCATTCAACTTATTCGTTAAAGGTTCTTAACAGCATATGCAACCTTCATTATTACACTAATTTCAATGTCAACTAACTTTATGTAGAAAAACGTCCGTGTGATTTTACAGTTCAAAAAATTGTCAAATAGCTTTACAAACAAAAGAATTTAGCTTTGAGAGTCACTCAGTAGAAATCACGTTTTTTCTACATTGGCGTCTCCGGAATTCAGCCATGATTGATATGTGTAAATCACATTTCTCCAATATCCCACTGGTCAATAATACAACTAAATCACAATGATCAAAATTAATATAAAAAAAAAACGAAAACTAAAATATCACTTCACTTTAAACTTAAAATTAACTGTTAAGTCACCATTGTTCGATGCATGTATGCTGTCACCTATTCCGTCTTTGCGTATTGCAGAGTTATCTTCTCTTGGGAGCAGGGATTGATTGTTACGTCATTGGTTTGTGTGAGAAAATCACGTCGTTTTCTCAAAAATTGATGACGTTACTCTCTTAAACAAGTGACGTAACAATCAATACCTGCTATCAAGAGAAGATAACTCTGCAATATGCAAAGACGGAATAGTCTCCCATTCACTCAGTTATACTAGGAATACTCTAAATGATTTCCCTTTTAAAATGACCACTTCATACAAACGATATAATACTTGACCAGCATGTTAGGACATGTATGGTCACTTGTGAACGGGTTATATATACTCTTTAACAACCTCTGTGTATTACTTAAACAGTCTTAGACCAAAAATAAAAAAAAATAAAAATTGCACCAAATATTTCTCTCAGTTTGAACAGTGAATTCTGTCTGATTTAATGTCTAACAGATAGACTTGACCGGGTCACCATTGAAAAAGAATTCTATATAATCGAAATCGCCTGTGACTAAGCACCTATACCTACCAATATATGCTCCATCCCAGTGACCACATACCTGATTCCTACATTTAAATAGATCGTATTTCCTCGTTCAACACGTACATCTACAGCTAACAAAAATACACAAGTATGTCACCATCAGCTGTATTTTAAGACTTATTTTGTCAATTACTATTCTCTTATAAACGCATGTATAATATGGGTCACTGGCCTGGGTATATACTAGGTAAATGTAGCCCCTACCCCCATCCCACACCCACCCCACCCCCATCCCACCCCCATCCCAAGTGTTAACTAAATAAAAATATATGCATGAACAACATTTCTCTGTTTTTCTGTCCTGTTACTTCTATCTTAGTCAAAGAACAGCTATATTGAGCAATTTTCCTATGCACATGTTACAATTTAATTGTAAACCTGCGTCTCTAAAACAGAAGAACACCGATATATATTTTGCAAAAAAATATAAACAATATGATATAATATGTGCTTCATAGCATCGAATCTGATAAACGGAAACGTAATCCTTTTCGCGGCAGTGTAAACAATTGCAGTTGGCAGAGCTTTTGACTCTCTACAAGACAGAACATGTTTATCTGACGTATGTCCTACATTTCGAAATTACTAAATGTCAAGGGTCAACTCAAAACCCTGGTGATGTCAGCAAGCGTAATCATTTTGTCAATGTCATGACAGCTACCTGATTTCAAATTCAAAAATCAACAAAATGCTTCTATTGTTCAAACTACATGTATATCATCAGAGGTGAAGGTTTGAGCACCCCTCCCCGGGAACCACCTGCAGTTCGTCCTCCAGCCAGTAGCTGAAGCACTCAGGTGGTGGAGGGGAGGGGAGTTCATCCTCAGGTGGTGGAGGGGAAGGGAGGTCATCCTCTTGTGTCTTCTGCATCCAGAAATGGTCTTTTTGAGGCGTAGTGAAGGTCCAGCATTTAGGGGACGCAATCTGAGTCTGCCAGCTAAGGTCTTCTGTGGGAGGTAGAGTAGGAGTAGGCGCCGGATTCCAAATGTAAGAATCCTCTTTCGGAGGAGGAGTGGGAACAGGCGTCCATACGCTGGTCATCTCCTTTGGGGGAGGGGTCCAACTACACGAAGGTTCCTCCTTAAGGGGAGGGGTCCATGTACATGCAGGCTCCTCCTTTGAGGAAAGAGTCCAGAGACGTGCAGGCTCCTCCTCTGGGGGTGAAGTCGGGGACAATCCTAGTTGGGCCATCAGCAGATATTTCTGATTTTGAAGACTTTGGTACAATGCACGCAACGAATTGTTCTTTTCAACCTCCTCTTCAAGTATCTAAAAGGGCAGAAAAGTAAACTTAAAGGCCAAAGATGCAATAAAAATGCTCGTGCGGTGCACGAGCTCATTAGAGGCTTAACTACTATATATAATTACATGATGTACATGTACACAACCAAGGTAAGTTTAGGTAACACATATTACCACAGCATCTTTGCTCATACCATCCCTTATCATATACTATGTGCGACGCATGTAAATCAGTTATTTCAAAAAGTACGTGTCTGTTGTGTATCTACGTATATGTCTGTTGTGTATCCACGTGTATGGCTGTTGTGTATCCACGGGTATGTCTATTGTGTATCAACGTGTATGTCTGTTGTGTATCCACGTGTATGGCTGTATGTTGTGTATCCACGGGTATGTCTATTGTGTATCCACGTGTATGTCTGTTGTGTATCCACGTATATGTCTGTTGTGTATCCACGTGTATGTATGTTGTGTATCCACGTGTATGTATGTTGTGTATCCACGTGTATGTATGTTGTGTATCCACGTGTATGTCTGTTGTGTATTCACGTGTTTGTCTGTTGTGTATCAACGTGTATGGCTGTTGTATATCAACGTGTATGTATGTTGTGTATCCACTTGTATGTGTGTTGTGTATCTACGTGTATGTTTGTTGTGTTTATAAGTGTTTGTCTGTTGTGTATCCACGTGTATGTCTGTTGTGTATCTACGTGTATGTTTGTTGTGTATCCACTTGTATGTCTGTTGTGTATCCACGTGTATGTCTGTTGTGTATCCACGTATATGTCTGTTGTGTATCAACGTGTATGTCTGTTGTGTATCCACATGAATGTCTGTTGTGTATCAACGTGTATGGCTGTTGTATATCAACGTGTATGTACGTTGTGTATCAACGTGTATGGCTGTTGTATACCAACGTGTATGTATGTTGTGTATCCACTTGTATGTCTGTTGTGTATCTACGTGTATGTTTGTTGTGTTAATAAGTGTATGTCTGTTGTGTATCTACGTGTATATCTGTTGTGTATCCACGTGTATGTTTGTGGTGTATCCACGTGTATGTCTGTTGTGTATCAACGTGTATGTTGTGTATCCACTTGTATGTCTGTTGTGTATCTACGTGTATGTTTGTTGTGTTTATAAGTGTATGTCTGTTGTGTATCTACGTGTATATCTGTTGTGTATCCACGTGTATGTTTGTTGTGTATCCACTTGTATGGCTGTTGTGTATCCACGGGTATGTCTATTGTGTATACACGTGTATGTCTGTTGTGTATCCACGTGTATAGCTGTATGTAGTGTATCCACGGGTATGTCTATTGTGTATCCACGTGTATGTCTGTTGTGTATCAACGTGTATATTAGTTGTGTATCCACGTGTATGTCTGTTGGTTGTGTATCCACGTGAATGTTTGTTGTGTATTAGCGTGTATGTCTGTTGTGAATACATGTGTATGTCTGTTGTGTATCTTCGTGTATGTTTGTTGTGTATACATGTGTATGTCTGTTGTGTATCTTCGTGTATCTCTGTTGTGTATCCACGTGGTTGTCTATTGTGTATCCACGTGTTTGTCTGTTGTGTATCCACGTGTATGTCTGTTGTGTATGCACGTGTATGTCTGTTGTGTATGCACGTGTATGTATGTTGTGTATCCACATGTATGTCTGTTGTGTATCCACTTGTATATGTCTGTTGTGTATCCACGTGTATGTCTGTTGTGTATCCACGTGTATGTCTGTTGTGTATCTACGTGTATGTATGTTGTGTATCCACGTGTATGTCTGTTGTGTCTCCACGTGTATGTCTGTTGTGTATTCACGTGTATGTATGCTGTGTATCCACGTGTATGTCTGTGGAAGTTTTGTATGTACTGTTGTGTTTTCGCGTGTACATGTGTGGCACGTATTGATACATCTACGGTTGTCTCGAATGTACTTACATGTTCTAGGTCCTTCTGTTTAGTCTTTCGCTTCTGTCGACACCTTACTGCAGCTTGACGGTTCTTTTCTCTCCTCGTCGCCACTTTCGTTTCCTCTTCGTTAGTTAACTGTGGGTGTAATACATATATATACATATGCAATACATAGTACATGTACACAAATACGTGTATACCACACATACACACTCATCAAGAAGATACATAACAGACATGTATATATTACTTCGTCAGTTATACATTAAAAATAATAACATCGCCAACAACTACTCATTACACGGTCCATGCCCAAGAAGTACACTCTAAACACACAATATAAAATTTAATGACACTACTAACATCCAATAATTAAATTTCCAAAGACAATATCCAGTATATTCAAACAATTTACAGTAATAATATGCATTGTAGATTGAAATTAAAACTAAATGTTAAATTGTGCTGGAAAAGTTATGACCAAACAATGAAAAATCTTTAAAAAAAAAAAGATATTTAAGAAAAAATCAAAAATAGAACATGTACTCACTGGTGTTTTGATCGGTGGCGTCACCTCAACTTTGAGCTCCTCTAATCCCCGCTCTAGTCTAGCGTGTTGTATTTTTGTCCAGAGTTCTTCCTTCAGGAGGGGCGTTATCACCCCCGACTGGATGGCTGCATGCTCCGCGATCTGTAGTTTCAGGTCTGTGCGCTGTTCGGGCCAGACTGGCAGGTCTCTTTCCATCTACATACGAGATACAAACAACGTCATAAGGTTAATACTTTGAAGGAAACATTTTTTTCGCTATATTAAAATTTAAAAAAAGCAACAGTACATACACGTCACAGAAACGGTTTGATTAGAGCTTCCTACCTTCCCTCTATCCAAATTAAGTCAGAGATGTAACCCTAAGTGGACTTTTTCTCCTTATTGGTCCTTATAATGTATACACATTTACGTATATAAAAGATGAATTATCACCCTAGTAATTGACATAGTATAAAGGGGAGTAATTCGAAAATATACTGAACAATTATTTCAGTTCTAGACCAACTTGAACCGAGCATGGAATGCCGACCAGCTATGTATACATGACTGTTGAGCTGTGAGAGTTGCCTCCCCTTTTTATCACACTTTCAGTGGAAATATTCAGTTAATTAAAGTGTAAGGGAACAGGGTACAATTACATAAAAAAAAAGGTATCAGCACCCTTATATCCAGTCCACTATGTGACTTATGAGACATCATTTCCTTCCACCCATTGCTATAAAAGTAATATAATATATGGCATTTAAATTAAAAGTTATGAATAAAAATGCGCTCTATTTTACATAAAGTAAATAAAATGCACTAAAGGATTATCTTGGAGTCTAGGAAGGGAGTGGTATGAGCGAGAGTGGTTAAGGCGATCCCTACCTACAAATCGAACATTCCTCCATCTACGGTCCGACAGATACAAATATATTACATACAGTATCAAACGAGATGATAACATGCATACCCAGGTCCATCTGTAATTACATATATATCTTATAATAAAGTTATCACTCAATTGTAGACCAAATTACGGCGACGATAAGAGTTTTGGCACAAATCCTCCGCAAGACAGGATTGCTACATCAGTTTCACATTAGCAATTTCTGTGTAAATTTTCTTATTGAATTACCAATAAACTCTACATCATTTCGTTATACAATGTAATATACAAAGTAATACACAAGTCAGTTAGATTCAGAAGTCTTTTGCTACTGAATTAATTTGGTAATGATTAGAAATTATGTGATCCGTGATATAAAAAGGAACAGCATGTTGTTGGTAGCAAGACTGGAAGAATATTGTTGTATCTATATAGATATTAAATTGGCGGTTAGTAATATGTATTAGACTGCTGATCTATGTCATAGTTCTATTTTACAGTGCACTAGAATAATCTACGGAAGTATAATATTGATTTACCGCAACAATCTACGGAAGTACAGCATTGATTTACCGCAATAATCTACGGAAGTACAGCATTGATTTACCACAATAATCTACGGAAGTACAGCATTGATTTACAACAATAATCTACGGAAGTACAGCATTGATTAACAACAACAATCTACGGAAGTACAGCATTGATTTACAACAATAATCTACGGAAGTACAGCATTGATTTACAACAACAATCTACGGAAGTACAGCATTGATTGACAACAATAATCTACAGAAGTATGTCATTAATTTACCATGAAAATCTACAGGAAGTATAGCGTTAATTTACAACAATAATCTACAGAAGTATAGCATTAATTTACAACAATAACCTACGGAAGTATGGCATTAATTTACCACAATTATCTACGGAGGTATAGCATTAATTTACCACAATAATCTACGGAAGTATACCATAAACTTACAACAATAATCTACGGAAGTATAGCATTAATTTACAACAAAAATCTACGGAAGTATAGCATTAATTTACCACAATAATCTACGGAAGTATAGCATAAATTTACAACAATAATCTACGGAAGTATAGCATTAATTAACAAAAATAATCTACGGAAATATAGCATTAATTTACAACAATAATCTACGAAGTATAGCATTAATTAACAACAATAATCTACGGAAGTATAGAATAAATTTACAACAATAATCTACAGAAGTATAGCATAAATTTACAACAATAATCTACGGAAATATAGCATTAATTTACCAAAATAATCTACGGAAGTAAAGCATTAATTTACCACAATAATCTACGGAAGTATAGCATTAATTTACAACAATAATCTACGGAAGTATAGCATAAATTTACCACAATAATCTACAGAAGTATAGCATAAATTTACAACAATAATCAACGGAAGTATAGCATTAATTAACAAAAATAATCAACGGAAGTATAGCATTAGTTAACAAAAATAATCAACGGAAGTATAGCATTAATTAACAAAAATAATCTACGGAAGTATAGCATAAATTTACAACAATAATCTACGAAAGTATAGCATTAATTTACAACAATAATCTACAGAAGTATGGCATTAATTAACAACAATAATCTACGGAAGTATAGCATTAATTTACAACAATAATCTACGGAATTATGGCTTTAATTTACAACAATAATCAACGGAAGTATGGCATTAATTAACAAAAATAATCTACGGAAGTATGGCATTAATTAACAAAAATAAGCTACGGAAGTATGGCATTAATTAACAAAAATAATCTACGGAAGTATAACATTAATTTACAACAATAATCTACGGAAGTGTGGCATTAATTTACCACAATAATCTACGGAAGTATATCATTAATTTCCAACAATTATCTGCGGAAGTATAGCATCAATTTCCAACAATAATCTCACATCATAATAATTCTATATATAATTCTACGTCGGTTTTGAATTCGTTTTCTACAATAATTCATGTTAGTATCGCACAAAGGATTTTCTATAATAATTACCTCAAGATTCGGCGGAAGTGTCACACTAATTTTCTGCAACAGTCATGTGCATGTCCATTTTATTTCCCAAAAGTTTACAACTTATAGGTACAGGATATTACTACAATCCATACATATTCAATACATGCTTACCAGGGCGACAGTTTGTATGTGTAAACAAATAAGTGGCATGTGTTTTGAATGAATGATATACTAGTTATAAAATAAGAAACATGTATTTGAATGAATGTACATCATCAGTGATATACTAGCTAAAGAAAAATTAATAAAAATAATGTATTGAAGGAGAACGCATTGTTGTTAGTTCATACATTTAAATTTGTTTTCAGATTCTCTCTCAACATAAATGATCTACGTTACTTAGTATCGAATTGTTACTAGGGACGACTGTATCTATTGCTGGTCAAGCTATGTGCATTGTACGACAACAACATACGTACGGCTACAGGTGTAACACTACTCTATGGAATGGCTTTTAGTCATTTTAATTAAGTTTTATGTATTTGTGAATGTATTATGTATGATTGAAAGGTGAGACTTTCATAAATATCTATGTATATCGAACTAAATAATCACAAGTATCTCCCTAAAATTCGTACTAGTTTAATGAAATAATCTAGTGTAAAGTAAATTCCTGTTTTATTAACAGAGTTAAAATTCAATTGAATCAATATTTGCTTAAAAACAGAATCCGGAAACAAGCTCATGAAGTGTTCATTAATCGGCTTTCTTTAGTTGGAGATAAATATAAACTACTGTATAAAAGAGATGGACAGCATATAATAAAGAAAAATAAAATGTATATAAAATTTAAAAAAAAAAAGGAATTTTCTATCATAGTGAGGGGAGAGTTGGGAGGGGGAGTGAAGACGGTCAGACAAAATCTTTGCTGATTAGATAACGGGTAAATTCGTGCTTAAAATGATTTCGTAGGTATGTATGTAAAAACATAGAAACATATACATTTGTACATGCTGAAATATTATTAATATATTAGATTACTACTTTATAGGGTAAATTCGTGCTTAAAATGATTTCGTAGGTATGTAAAAACATAGAAACATATGTACATGTACACTAATGTACATGCTGAAATATTAATAATATATTAGATTACTACTTTATAATAAAGTAAAAATAATAATCTAGTAAATCTACATGTACATAAGTATAGCAATAGTTCTTTACAACAGTCCAACCTAAGTATCTATAATATAGCACAAATATTATAATAATACATGTAAGTATTGCATTTAGTTAGATTACGATTTTAATTACATATTACATTTATATTTATTTATATTTATTTTTTATAAATGCACACATATAATTGTATGTATCAATTATTACAGTTTACATATCAATGTCAGCATATTACCTACATGTTAATGTATTATAAACATATATCTAAACGGTAAAATGGTAACAAGCTATTAATATTAACAAAATTATATAAAATACATATAATACAATTAAACATTTACAAACATACACACTCACTGGTCATGATATGTTAGTAAGACATACATTGTATTACATTATAAGATTTTCGGAACATCTTAAATATATTGTAACAGTTTTCAGTGTTAATTGAAGGAAATCTCGAACATGTTATACGGATGATATCGAATTTAAAACGAATTTTTAGAGTTGTTTGGTTTAAAATTATTTTTTAATGTTAAAAAAAAATTCTAAAGTAAATGGATACAAGTTTTCATAATTAACATGATCCTAATGTTTATGTAAATAACAATCAGTAAGGCAAACTTTAATCCACTAACCTTTGTGAGCGATGCTTCTAACAAGAATTTATTAACTTAGATTATGTGAGACTGATTTTGTTTCTATTATAACATCAATTCCAAGGCGGAAGGCGGCTCGTCCGTGCAGCTGCCCGTATACTACAGAAACATGTACAAACATGTTTCTTCTCTCTGTCCTAAACGGATGCTGACGAAACATTTAATTACACTTCCCACTCTCATTTTTAATAATTTGAACATCAAAAATATATAAATCATTTATAGATTTCTGATGAAAATGTTATGATCGTATTAAATATAAACAATGTACTAATCCCAGCTAAATAAGCACTGAGCACGCATACGTACCATCAGTATGTAATGTGGCATTTAAAATACGGATATCGGCCTTGTAACATTATTAGCGTAAATGATTATCACTATTAAAATCTACGATATCACCAGATCACATGTATTGACAGACGAGGCTAGTACCTGTGATCGGATATATCTTTGGCAAACATACTAACATATAAATATTCCCGATAAAACCAAGACTCGACACTTTTTTTAGGATTTACATATACAAGTATATAACCATATATATGAATGTTTATAAAATTACTTTTAATCATAGCGGATTTTTTCAAAAATAATATCAATTATGTATTGATTGGTATTGCATGGGAAAAGAAATGATATGAAATTTTTAAAAATCCAGATTTACTTATAAGAACTATTTCAAAGCTCAGTGTATAGCTTAGCGTTTTATATACCGATCACGGTGATTTATCGCTAGTACACTAAGGTAGTAAGGCTGCGATAGCGTTTGCATCCAGAAACTTGTAAGATAATTTGACTTTCAGGTCTAGACATAAACTTGTTACATCATGGTGCGTGTTCATTTCATGATAAATTGACATTTCGCCGACGATCGAAACAATGCCATATTCTAAATAATCGAAATCATTATATGCCTTTCGAGTACAAATAGTTGATACAAACACAAACTCCAGTGGTACAATATGATTGCACATACTGATAATAAGATGCAATGTATCAAGTTAAATATGAAAAATATTTTTAAGAAAGCATTTGTTCTTACTTCGGTCATCTGCAGCTCGAAAATGACCTGTCTGAATTGTTCTGCGTCCGCCATTTTGTTCTGTCCTGTTTGAAACTAGGTGACCCTCTGTATCTCAGTTACAGAACTAGTACAAAGTCGTGAAAGTTACATTTTCATGAACTCTTCAAAATTTATCCAAAATAAATTTCAGAAAAAACAATAACCGAAATACACATTTTGCACGTAACTATTAATTACTTTTATTTTAAGATTAAAATTGTATAAAGTATTCGATTTTGAACACGGGTCATAAAGGTGATGATGAAATCTTAGACATATATACAGTAGACACAACGTACAGAATACGTTTGTCCAGCAGCCATCTTGGATTTTCGACTAGCTACCAAAAAGTGATGTGAGCTTTAATTCACATGGAAAGTTATACAGCTGTCAAGTCGCGATACATATCATGCACGTGTATTAGTTAATGTTAAATCAATTGCAGTTGGGACTTGAGCAAAATTTCCAAGCTAAATATATACCTTATGTACACTGATGCAATAACGTTTAACCGCTATATTAGTATATATACATTTTGTATATAAGCTTGCCTGGTCGCCCACACACATGCTTAGATAGGCGTGCTAACCACGTGTTTCGTTATCGGTTCAAAACATAAACACATAGATTTATGTATAGTTACTTGCAAGAAATAAAATAAATGGAAAATGATGTTTTGTCCCCCAACAGGTACCAAAGTTGTGTGCTATGCTATCTAGGTAGCATTGAGATCGTCATGCATCAAATTATAGATTATTTAATTTTAATAAATTAATAATTTAAGATGAGTAGCATTATAGTAGATACAAACAAACAATCAAAACAAATGATTTGTTATGCAGTGCGTAAAACAGTGAGTGAAATAGTGATAAGAAGATGTTCAATAACAAAAACTGCTGACTAGTGCATTATAATGGCTGGTGACAGGTCGGACCTCATAGCTACCCCTCCCACTCAAAATTCGTACATTCCTAACACAATAACGTAAGTTACAAACAAAACAAACTAAGTTGTTTATGCATAATCGTAGCTTTGAAAATCGAAAAAAAGCATGACAGAAGCAGATAATGTACCCTGACGAGACAGTTGCACCTTATATCGGTTGATGGTGCGAGTACCGGTCTACAGTAGGCTACTGTTCTGTAACTAAACTTCACAAAGTTTTATAGCTTTGTATTTTGTAAAGAAATTAAATAAGCTCAAAATGACAACACTTGTTACTTACCCTCCTTGACTAGAATATGCCTGATGAAATGACAGTATGAAATAAAATCCAATGTGCACATTTAAAGCTCCCAGCGTGGTGATTTAAACTCTGTTCCTTTTGTTCAGTAGAGAGATGGGCCAGACATGTCGGGACTTGTCCTGACAAGGGACGTTACTCTCGGTACCTCCATGTCATCGAAAATGACGTCAGCTACATATAAATGCCCTGTATGGTCTAAATTTAGTAACAGGTACTTTCCAAACCGAATGTTATTGAGGTCAGCAAAATAAGTGTTTATAAATAGTTTAAATGAAACACTGTTTTTGAATCGTTTTTAAACGTGCTTTTATTAAATTCTTTTTAGTGAGCTATCATGAATATAATATAACCCCAGAAAAACAATTGGAAGATGTGTGTGATGAGAAAATAATAAAAGATTTGTAGTATGATTTAGATCAGTTTCCCTGTGTGGTACCCCTTAACTTCAAATTCCCTATATCATTGCACGGTGATGCTCTAGTCTGTATTTATACTCGACGGAACAAAACAAATAATTACAAACAAAGATGTGAGCTTATAAACATCTTTAGACGTATTTATACATCAGTTGGAGAAAAGAAGAGAAAAAATTGCCAATTTATCGCCGAATTAAATATTTATACCGAGTCAAAAACACGGAAGTACATGTACGGATGAGGTACGTATGGCGGGGCACATATAGGAAATACATTGATAACATTCCTGAATAGAGCGTGGTCTAAGTTGAGTTTTCCTTTTAACATTACAGAAATATTATCAAAATATCTCAAATAAATAGGATATAAATTTTGAAGGGAAAGAATTGATGACGAATAGCTAGCGGTAAAAATTAACAAATAATAAGATAATAATGTCAGTTTTTACTTTTATTTTAAATATTATTTTGGCTCATCAGTCTATTTTCTGAAAATCCAAAAGAATACTTGTTATCGAAGACACGATCGAAGTCTAATTATTAATATTATCGAAAAAAGTTATTAGAACAATTTTATGCATATCTTGAGTCATATCAGGTTATGCTATTGATAACGAGTTGCCTCCCTTCCCTTGTTCAGTTCCAATTTTACCCGGGCCTGTCAATTTCTGTCGACGATCGGAGATACCCTTTTTTTCTGGCCATGCCAATTTTAAGTAGGTTATGTCAATAGTCTTGTTTTTGAAGTTATATAATCTCCGTTCTAGTATTTAATCATCCGCGTTTTAGAGATTTTAAGATTCCAGGACTTGGAGTATAAGGAGGAGGGGGTGGGGACGGGTTACCTTCAACCTGGTCAGGCCTTTTTTCAAAGAAAGCAGCAACCTGCACACCATTCGGAAATGCCAAGTGGCATTTTTAAAAACATATTACGAGAACGGAGCAGGTAAAAAAAACGTTTCCTTTTCGAACCTTTTGGTTTACTCTGTTTAGTGTTGAAAATTAATGAACTACTTATCCAAACAGCGGAATTTTAAATAATCCCTGCCTCGACCATCTCGTTTGTAGAACAGCATCTAATTATCATTATGGGTTGGAAGCTCAAATATTCATTGTAAGAGATTTTAGAGATCATGTACTTTCAAAATAAAATAACTATAAATGATAGAAGAAAAAAACGAAAAGAAATTAACAAAATGAATGCCCACACTCTATCGGCTGGTGAGATTATATCCTCCAGCATCAGAACCAATCTCCCTCCCCATGGTGATTTACACACGTATGGATTTTACCACCTTCACTTGTATGATGGCTGGGAACACACGGATATTCACTCAAACCGAATCCATTTTAGAGGCCGTATTCTCATATGTTAAAAAAACAGAAGGTAACAGAAAAAAGTTCTTTTTTTTTCTTTCTAAATATACTTCTCAATAACACACTACACACGACACAGAATAATAACGGACCATCTTTTTATCTTAGGCTACGCCTCGTAAATATGGTTTTCCATCGGACATTTCTTGAATGTTAATTGTTTTAATAAACCAATATTTTCAATGACCTAAACTTGACTGAATTATAAAGCTTAAATGAATCTAAATGCACTAGATGGCACCAGAGATTTTTTTTATATTTTTCGGGGTATGTCGGGGAATTGGTTTGGTTGAAGGGGTTGGGGGATTGTAGATCCTTCCCGCCTTTAGCCCCAGACCCCAAATAGGACTTCGGATATGCACATGCCCCTCTCGCTCTGATTCCTGGACCAGCGTCTGCATGTTGTGCTATAATACTAGTCGCATGCTTTGAAGTGTACCTGTGAATAGGAAAATACAAAAAGAAAACGGCACCGCTATCAATTCGAAAATTTACTACCTTTCTTGCACCGTGGGACGCAACGACAAACATAGTTCTGGATATCTTCCATAGGTGCTGCATGGCTGGTGAGTATCGTGGTCCAGAGGCTGGAGCTGTGGGTACTCACTGCACGTGGTACATTACATTGTATAACTCAGATATATGTGCTGCACACGTGTGTTCTTTGTATAGATTTTGTCTCATGCAACGTGTATCAAAATTACATCATCGAAATTTCTAGAAAATTCAAGAAGTTTCGAACATAAACATACCCATGACATTGTGTTGTCTGATGTCACGGCGTAAGATTTTGTGCGGTTTGAAAATAGTTTGCATTAATAAATAATACAAATAAATATATATTACTATTAGTAAAAGGGGGATAACTCTTGGTTATATCGACGATGATCGTACTACTGTTTTGTTACATCGTAATACAGAGTGACAATTACAGTACATCTCATACATGCAGATGTTCGCTATACAGGGCGACAATTACAGTACACCTCATACATGCAGATGATCGTTATACAAGGCGACAATTACAGTACATCAGGGCGACAATTACAGTACATCTCGACAATTACAGTACATCTCATACATGCAGATGATCGTAATACAGGGCGACAATTAAAGTACATCTCATACATGCAGATGATCGTAATACAGGGCGACAGTTACAGTACATCTCATACATGCAGATGTTCCCTATACAGGGCGCCAATTACAGTACATCTCATACATGCAGATGATCGTTATACAGGGTGACAATTACAGTAAATCTCATACATGAAGATGATCGTAATACAGGGCGACAATTACAGTACATCTCATACATGTAGATGATCGTAATACAGGGCGACTTTAACAGTTCATCTCATACATGCAGATGATCGTTATACCGGGCGACAATTACAGTACATCCCATGCATGCAGATGATCGTTATACAGGGAGACAATTACAGTAAATCTCATACATGAAGATGATCGTAATACAGGGCGACAGTTACAGTACATCTCATACCTGCGGAGGATCGTTAGACAGGGCGACAATTACAGTACATCTCATGCATGCAAGCAAGTGATCGTTATACAGGGCGACATTTACAGTACATCAGAGCGACAATTACAGTACATCTCATTCATGTAGATGATCGTAATACAGAGGGAATTTAACAGTTCATCTCATACATGCATATGATCGTTATACAGGGCGACGGTTACATTTCATCTCATACATGCAGATGATCGGTATACAGGGCGACAATTACAGAACATCTCATACATACAGATGATCGTTAGACAGGGAAACGGTTAAAGTACATCTTATACATGCAGATGATCGTTACATACATGAAGATGATCGTAATACATGGCGACAATTACAGTACATCACATACATGTAGATGATCGTTATACATGGCGACAATTACAGTACATTTCATACAAGCAGATGATCGTTATACAGGGAGACAATTACAGTAAATCTCATACATGTAGATGATCGAGACACAGGGCGACAATTACAGTACATCCCATGCATGCAGATGATCGTTATACAAGGCGACAATTACAGTACATCTCACACATGCAGATGATCGTTATACCGGGCGACAATTACAGTACATCCCATGCATGCAGATGATCGTTATACAGGGTGACAATTACAGTACATCTCATTCATGTAGATGATCGTAATACAGGGCGACAGTTACAGTACATCTCATAAATGCAGATGATCGTTAGACAGGGCGACAATTGCAGTACATCTCATACATGCAGACGATCGTTATAGAGGGCGACAATTACAGTACATACAGATGATCGTTAGACAGGGCAACGGTTAAAGTACATCTCATACATGCAGGGGATCGTTTTACAGGGCGACAATTACAGTAAATCACATACATGTAGATGATCGTTATATAGGGCGACAATTACAGTACATTTCATACAAGCAGATGATCGTTATACAGGGTGACAATTACAGTAAATCTCATACATGAAGATGATCGTGATACAGGGCGACAATTACAGTGCATCAGGGCAACAATTACAGTACATCAAGGCGACAATTACAGAACATCTCATACATACAGATGATCGTTAGACAGGGCGACAATTACAGTACATACAGATGATCGTTAGACAGGGCGACAATTGCAGTACATCTCATACATGCAGGGGATCGTTTTACAGGGCGACAATTACAGTACATTTCATACAAGCAGATGATCGTTATACAGGGAGACAATTACAGTAAATCTCATACATGTAGATGATCGAGACACAGGGCAACAATTACAGTACATCTCATACCTGCACATCAGGGCGACAATTACAGTACATCTCATACATACAGATGATCGTTAGACAGGGCAACGGTTAAAGTACATCTTATACATGCAGATGATCGTTATACAGGGCGACGGTTACATTACATCTCATACATGCAGATGATCGTTATACAGGGCGACAATTACAGTACATCTCATACTTGCAGATAATCGTAATAGAGGGTGACAGTTACAGTACATCTCATACATGCAGATGATCGTTTTACAGGGCGACAAATACAGTACATCAGGGCGACATTTACAGTACATCTCATACATGTAGATGTTCGAGACACAGGGCGACAATTACAGTTCATCTCATAAATCCAGTACATCTCATACATGTTGATGATCGAGACACAGGGCGACAATTACAGTACATCTCATAAATGCAGATGATCGTTAGACAGGGCGACAATTGCAGTACATCTCATACATGCAGATGATCGTTATACAGGGCGACAATTACAGTACAACATGCAGATGATCGTTATACTGATACAGGGCGACTGTTACAGTACATCTCATACATGTTGATGATCGAGACAC